AAGGCGAAAATGCATGAGTTAAAGCAAATAAAGGCTGTTTATTCAAATAAGCGAGGCCGTTTGTCAATCGTTTAAGATTACTACTTGCACATAAATGCCTTCATATTTTTTATTTCTTAAGTTTTGTTTATGCACTTTTTTGAAAAAAAGTATGACTTTTTTTATTTTTTGACATTTTTAGCTTAAATATATAAACAAGCATGTACATTTTATATATCAGCTGAAAGATAAATTAATTGTCTTTATTTTGACATCTTATTACCTTTTTAATTGGTTATGTAGTCTAGAAAATTATAATATTTAAAATTAACGAAAATTTTTATTTGAACCTGTTATATCTTCTTTACTTTTCGATTGCGCCAAATAGTATTTATATGATTGAAATCAACTTAAAAATTACTATTGATCTACATTTTTTTTTCTGTAGCTGAATGGTTGGTTATCTAGATGTATGCCAATGATTATTTTGTAACGTCAAAAAATATTATTTTTATTATTATTAAGAAATGTCCAGCGCTTCAGACTCATTTAAAAACATGGTGGAATATTACCAGGTGAAGTAATTAGAGTGAGAAGAAAGATTTTTACACTGCATTATTTGAAAATTTGCCTGTAAACTTCGACTATAACTGGCCGTCTCCACAGGATACAATTTATTGTTGTCCAGCTGTCATTTTGGTCGCTAGATATAAGTTATATCAGTGGCAAATTCGTGTGGGCTTCTTATATCTTGATATAAGAATTTGTAAGTCAGCTACTAAAACGCATTTTTGCCGGATTTAATCACTTAAAAAATTAAAAAAATTGGCTTTTTTACATCCAAGTACATAATAACAAATATTTTAACAGAAAACAGCTCAATTTTTGCTTTTATATTAAAATATCAATAATGTTGCCGCCACGAAGTTTTCGTGCAATTGAAAATGTAGCTGTCAAACTGGCAAATTGCCGGCAATAGATGGCAAGATAAGCTCTGATAAATATTGCTCTCGAAGAGAAATGCGCGGTCTTCATTGGCTATTTATATTCTAACATATGTAGCAAGATATAAACTTTATTCTGTGGAGACGGGCAGTAAGGCAGCCAAATGTCAGAAAATAAATGGAAAAAGCTGTTTTATTACTTCACCTGTTTATTGCGCTATGATTTAAAACAAGTGATACAAAAAATGTTCTCTATTGCTTGCAGTGTTCGGACCACAATATTTTGATTTTCAGTATTAAAGGGCAGCGTTTAAGCTTTCATATACTCCCACACAGATGGCATCAATTTATTGTTTTACAAAGGTTCAAAAATGACTATAAAAGAATTTTCGGTACTTTTAAACCTATGTTGCTAGAAAACTAGAGCCAATCTATTATCTTTACCTATAAGAATCGGCTGTATTATACCATGTTCGGACCGACAACGAAATCACTTTGAAAACGAGTTTTAGGATTGTGGGCTGAAATCTGTTCGCGCTGGCTGTTAGTGTTTTCGTTGACATTTCTTTCATCCTTTGTTTACAGTTTTTCTACGAAAAACCACAATCAAAATCTTCGTCTTTCATTTTCTTATCATTAGCAACCTTCTTCTGTTCTTTATATTTTAAGCTTAAATTAGTGGTGACATAACCATAACCATATAAAACAGCTCTTCCAACCAACCTTATGACCAACACTGTATTCGATGAGTGGTGCCACACCATGAACCAACTAACAAGATCATGCAATCGGAAGAGAATGAAAAAAGGAAAGGAAAGGAAAGGTGGCGCAGGAGTCGAGATATTTCTAAAATCCGCATTTCCAGGCCGATTTGATTCATCATTTATCTAGGGGCACGTATATAAATACGTTGTATAAACTGAACTGAAAATAGATAAATCAACTACTACAGTGTATAGCGACCTACATTTTTCACAGAGAGCGAGAAACTTCAACATTCCAAAAAATTTTAATAATTCCTGGAATGATGTTTAGTATGTAAAACAAATTTCGGAAGCAAGAAATATTCCTTAATTGCTTTATTTGGGCTCTTTTAAATTTTTCCCACAGATAAATTTGTAGCCCTAATCACTTTTGCAAAACGAAGTATCTCCTGTCATCACACAAACAGTCAGAGCATACGCGTCTTGGCACCCACGTCACTGTTGACAGTTACAAGTTTGAAAAAGTAGACGACTTCGTTTATTTGGGAACCAGCATTAACACCAATAATAATGTCAGCCTTGAAATCCAACGGAGAATCACTCTTGCCAACAAGTGCTACTTTGGGCTGAGTAGGCAATTGAGAAGTAAAGTCCTCTCTCGTCGTACAAAGATCACACTCTATAAGTCACTCATCATGCCTGTGCTGGTGTATGGCGCGGAGGCATGGACAATGAATGCATCTGATGAGGCGGCTCTTGGAGTTTTCGAGAGAAAGATTCTGCCAAAGATTTACGGATTTACGCGTTGGTGATGGCGAATATCGCAGACGATTTAACGATGAGCTGTATGAGCTTTACAACGATATAGACATAGTGCAGCGAATTAAAATTCAGCGGCTCCGCTGGCTTGGCCATGTCGTTCGGATGGACAGAAACGCTCCTGCTCTGAAAATATTCAACGCGGGCCGCGATGCCGGTAACAGAGGAAGAGGAAGGCCTCCTCTGCGTTGGAAAGACCAGGTGGAGAAGGACTTGGCTTCACTTGGCATTTTCAATTGGCGTCAGTTAGCACAGAAGAGAAATGACTGGCGTACTGTTTTGGACTCGGCCAAAATCGCTTAGGCGGTTACAGCGCCAATTAAGAAGAAGAATAAGAATCACTTTTGCAAGAAAGTATAAATTGTTTTCCAGCATAATGCATTTAAATGCTGTAACACATACATATGTATGTATTTGGGTTCTTTTCAATTTTTTTGCGTCAGAAAGTAGGTAAACAGGGTTCTCCAGTATAATGCATTTTATTAAACACGCAGGTACATAAGTAGATCGTTAGAGCGTATCTATTCATGTATATAAAGATAGATGTTGGTTAAGGCATTTAAATGATTCCTAGGTAGGTATGTTAGTTAGGGTTTGTTTACTGAGATCGGAATATTCAATGTATTTTGGGCCTATTTTAAAAATATTAAAAAATTTAAACAGCTCCGCAGTTAGCACGTGCACTCTTCAGTGATAAGTACAGCAAAATATAATAACTGTTAAAATTACTATAAAGGTTTTAAGAGCAATATCGTGTTTGGGTTAAAATACAATTCAAATTTGTTCAATATTGTGGCAATTTATTTGTGCAATAAAGGTTTGCTGATTCACAGCTTATAAATTCAAACGCATTTTTCACGTCGTTCCCGTACAATTATGCCTCCAAAGCGACAAGCAATTGGCCGATCTACACCTCAAGCACGGAAGAAAAGAGCATAACGAGCCTCAGAATCAGACGAGCATTAAGGCTAGAAAATCTTCGAGTTCATGCCGCTGAGACCCGTTCGTCTGAATCATCTGAACAACAAGAAGTGAGGTTAGAAACTGATTGAATACGTACTACTCAGGCCCGTTCGTCTGAGACAACTGAACAACGGGAAAGAAGGCTGCAAAATGTTCGAATAAGCACCGCTCGATTAAGACGAACACTGCATGCTGATTTAAATCTTGGGGCATTCCATTATGACAGTAATAATAATTACAGTCTTCATCCAAGTGTCAACATTGGAAAAATAGATAAAATTTGCATGTATTGTAGCGCCCTCAAATTTAAGAACGAAACGCCAAGAATGTGCTGCGCCAGTGGAATAGTTAAACTGCCAGAATCACCTCCACCACCCGAACCACTATCAACGTTGTTATCCGAAAACATCCGCGCAAACACAATTCATGTTTTCAAAAGACATCGTTCGGTGCAACGAACATCGTGCGCGAAAATTACATGCCAACATTCAGAGTCCAAGGGCAAATTTATCATCGTGTCGGATCGCCTTTTCCATTGCCGGACGCAGAGCACAAGTTTCTTCAAATTTAAATATAGACAAAATAAAGACAGTTTAATGCACCAACAATCAGTGAAGTGGTGATCGTGATAGTTGGCGAAGAATTCAAATCGCCTGACATAATTCTTCATCGTAGAAATGGTGACGTTCAGCGAGTATCCGAAACTCATCGCTCATACGACGGATTGCAGTATCCGATTCTGTTTTGGCGAGGAGAAGATGGATATCATTTCAACATCAAAATAAAAAATGCACAAACAGACGAGGAAACGAATAAGAAAGTCAGTGCCATGAATTATTATTCGTATCGATTGATGATTCGTCAAGACGCTGAGAACCACATTCTGAAATGTCGACAATTGTTCCATGAATACATCGTCGACATGTACGCGACGATTGAAACCGAACGACTCCTATATATTCGATTGAATCAAACCGAGTTGCGTTCTGAAGAGTACATCCATTTACGATACGCAATCGTTAATGATGGTAACGTGAATCCAAACGAATTGGAAAGAATGGTCATATTACCGTCTACATTCACGGGGTGTCCACGGCACATACATGAATACACACAAGATGCGATGACATACGTTCGCGCATATGGCCGTCCAGATTTGTTCATCACATTCACATGCAATCCAGCATGGGATGAAATTAAAGAACCTCTGTTGGCTGGACAATCATCTTCGGACCGCTATGATATTACCGCACGCGAATTTAAACAAAAATTGAAAGCTTTGATGGATTTTAGTATAGTGCTGCAAAAACATCGATGTTTGAAACTATCGATTTTTCGATGTTTTTGCCCATAAAAAATCGATAGTATCGATACTATCGGGATTTCTTGGGAATTATAACTTTTTATTTAAAGCTGCAATTAAGAACAATTAAAAAACATTATAATTTTTTAGAAATAAGATTTATTATTATAAATTTATTCATTAATTGAATATGAAAGTTATTCATTAATAAAATGAGAAATAAACATCACAATCCATTTGTGTTATATTTAATGTCTTATTAAATAAATAAAAAATTTGCTCTTTAAGGCAAAAATGCAAGGTACACTTTAGTATTTTTAGTCTTAAATGTTTCCTATCAGAGATCGAATGGCACTGACAGGACCATTTTTGTGAGTAATCACTTCCTTAAACACTTATAGCCAGCAGTTACTTGTTTACCAATTGTTTTTACTCATAAAAATTATTTTGTCTACATTTGACGATTTTAGTGAAGCCCTCTTATCACTAACAACAATTCCAGCTTTGCTAAAAATTCTTTCACTCTCAACTGAAGTCGCTGGAATGCATAAGATTCGTTTGCAACAAGATTTCAGTGATTCTTTATCACTTAGGCCCTAAAAAATAAGATAATTATATTTTTTTTACAATAAAAATTATAACTTAATATGCTTACATGCCAGTACTCAAGAGGATTACAATCTTCATGAAGATTTGGACTATCGTAATAGTTACGAAGGCTTAAAATGGAGTCCACTCTATCGGTCCTAATTTTTTTGGCAATATTCCTCTTGAGAAACTGTAACAGTGGCTGGTTATGGCCTGGACTTTCAGTTGGAGTTGGCGGCTCGGTGTTCGCATTAGCTGGATGGACATTTTTGTTTAGAAGCGTTATATCGTTTTCCAGCAACTTCGTGGCTTCTGACACACTTTGAGGTGAAAGAAAGCCCTCCTTCTTGAATCGAGGGTCAAGTAAAGTCCCAAATCTGGTGACTGTACGTCTTTCATACTCCACCTGTCTTCGTTTTATGCAGTCAATTAGAATAGCCAACATATTGATGCCTTCTTTGGTTTCCAATTTGAGCTTTAAACCGTCCATGGTATCCAAGAGTCCACACACAATTGGAATTATGAGCGAAACTGTGACCGAGGTT